ATTCGCTGGCTGGGGAATTCTGGGAGTTGAAGTCCGGACATCTTCAAGTTGCCAAGGTTGAGAAACACTGGCTGGGGAATTCTGGGAGTTGTAGACCAGACATCTTCAAGTAGCCAAGGTTGAGAAACACTGGCTGGGGAATTCTGGGAGTTGAAGTCCAGACATCTTCAAGTTGCCAAGGTTGAGAAACACTGGCTGGGGAATTCTGGGAGTTGAAGTCCGGACATCTTCAAGTTGCCAAGGTTGAGAAACACTGGTCTACACTCTATTAAAGAGAGTATGACTTAGTCAATAAATTGTGTGACTTTGGGGTTTTCCAAGTAAGAGTTTAGAACAAAGATGGATTAAAGTGCCACAAAAGAATTGAACTGATCACCTCCCTTCCCCTTCAAAACAGGTCCTGCATTAATTTTGAGGCTAAGTAAACATCCCTCTCAAAATTTTCATGTATTTAAGTTCAAATGCTGACTATATGCAAAATAGTTTATTTTATTTTCATAATCTTCCTAACAGTAACTTAATTTTTATTTATTTTTTATTTATAACACTATTACACAACTCTAGACCACAAATTGGTTAAACTTTTTTTCAGAATACACTCACAGTGTCCCAAATTAAAATGATAAAATTCAGAAATTCAAAACAAGGTATTTTAATACTGACTCAAAATATAAAGCAAATTATTCATTTACCTCCTCATCCAATTCCTTCATTATTTTCTCTAGACGATTATTAATAGCTCTGTAGAATAAATAATGCAAGCGTGAGGGAGAGACAGAATTATAGATAAAAGAAAGATTTTCTTTAGTATAAAATCTTCTCCGCAGCAAAAATGTAACCATTTATTAAGTGCTCAACTAAATACGATTCTTACCCAATTCTCTTTAGCAAGGTTTATTGAGAGGGGGTAGAATGAAATCAGATTTCCAACAATTCTTATACGAACTGAAAAGTGAACTACAATATTTTATAGTTATAACCAATTTATACCCATATTGTATGATTCTGATGATTCTAGCTCCGGGATGGCGAAATTATGGCACAGGTGGCACGCGGAGCCATTTGTCAGGGCACGCAAGGCGTTGCCCTGCCAGCTGGCCAGAGCACATGCGCGTGCTGCCCAGCTGAGTTCAGCCTTTTTAAGAGCCATTTTTTGCCCTCTCCAGGATCCAGAGGCTTTATAGGAGCCTGGGGAGGACAGAAAGAGCCCCCCCCCCCCGAGGCCCTCCTGAGCGCAAAAAAATGGCCCTATGGGCAAACAGGAAGTTCAGGAACGAACTTCCGGTTTGCTTGTAGGGTCAGTTTGAGCTGTCCGGAGGCTTCCGGGACCTTCAGGAGGCTTCCGGGATTGGGCGGCCTATAAATAAAATTAAACTTGAAAACTTGAAACTTCCCTAAAGCCTCCGGAGGACTAAAAACCTCCAAAGGGCTTAAACCGACCCTAGGAGCAAACCGGAAGTGACTTCCGGTTTGCTCATAAGGTCGTTATTTGCCCTTCAGAGGCTTCAGGAAAGCATCCTGAAGGTCCCTGAAGCCTCCAGAGGGCCTCCGGGGGAGGCTGTTTTCGCCCTTCCTAGGCTCCTATAAAGCCTCTGGAGCCTGGGGAGGGCGAAAAGAGCATGGAAAAATGGGGGGAGTGCTTCTCATGCACGCATGCGCATAGGGGGGTCATGTGTTGCATTATGGCTGCTGCACGCCCGCACACGACCCCCCTGCTCTCCCCCTTATGGCACGCGAGCCGAAAAAGGTTCGCCGTTGCTGTTCTAGCTAATTCTAACAGCTTTTCCATAAAACATTTGCCAGGAAGGAAATGTCTCTCTTCAACAATAATTTTGCTATTGTGCAGGTGGCTCTTTAAATAATGATCTCTTGAATCTCTGTCACTCCAGGAACCAATTCATATATGCAGCTGCTAAATTACAGATGGATTTAAACTTTCCAAATTCATCTCAAAATTCACATTAGCTAAATTGTCTAAACATTGGACATAATCCTGTATTAAATAACACATGAACAGCTTGCAAAAGCCTAAGGAACAAGCAAAGAGCAATGTGGCTTACAAAAAGGGAAAAAATGGATGCTTTTCTGTTCTCTATTTACTAATATTTGTTCATGTAATTACAATGTATATGCTACCTATAGAACAGCAACAGGAAGAATTTGGAAGAAAAGAAGACATCCATACTTAATATTTTGGTCTTGTTTGTTAGTTTTAGAGACGTGAGTTAGATATAGAAGGATCTGCTAATTGAACAAATCCCTATTCATTCTTATTTAATACAGAATTATGTCCAATTGTTAGATATTTTCTTCAATAGCAATAGTAATTGCATTTAGACTTACATACTGCTTCACAGTGCTTTACAGTGGTTTGCAGAGTCAGCCTATTGCCCCCAACAATCTGGGTCCTCATTTTACCCACCTCAGAAGGATGGAAGGATGAGTGAATCTTGAGCCAGTGAGACTCGAACTGCCAAATTGCAGGCAGCCAGCAGGCAGCAGAAGTAGCCTGCAGTACTGCATTCTAACCACTGCACCACCATAGTTCCTAACCACTGTGTCACCACAGCCCCAGAACCACAGCCACAGGTTTTATAGAGTTGAACCCCTTCAGAAAAAATCCTTGGCAATGCTACCTCCACTGAAAAACAAATCTCAAGATCCAAACAATTGTCATATTCTTACCCACCATAACTCCTCAACATCCTCCCCTCTTTATATGCTGTCTCCCAGCAAGCAGGACATTGCCTGGTTTTACCCTGTGTGAAACTTTCTACTCTCCAACTCCAAAAAAAATAAAATAAAAATAAAATAAATAAATCACCACACTTGTGAACACTTGGATTTTTAGCATTTCTGCATAAATGTGACCTAAAGAGTGATGTGTTCTCCGCAAAAGTCCTAAAACTAGATAGAGAACTCAAATTAAACAAATGAATCTAAAACATCATGCTTGTTCGTTTATTTAGTGAGGAAAATGATGCAGAACAACATATTTATGTGTGGGGAAAGTATCTGAACCTCTAGGATTAACAATTCATTTGAGGGAGAAATTTAAGAGTCAGGTGTTTCAATCAATTGGATGATAATCGGGTGTGAGTATAGGCCATCTTGCCTTACTTAAAGAACAGAATTCTAGCTATCACAGCCTGATCTTTACAACTCAGGGATGTAAAAGGATTTCATGATAATTTACAAAATTATTTGTAAAGACTCAGGACTCCAGCAGTCCACTGTCAGGTAGACTATATACAAATAGAGGCAATTAAACACCATTATTATCCTCCGAAGTAGTGGCCTGCCAACCTATTTCACACCAAGATCAAGGCATGGAATACTCCAGATGGCCTCAAAGAACCCCAGGGTAACATCTAAGGAATTAAAGGCCTCTTTTCCACAGGCAAATGTCAATGTTTGTAAGATCACCCGGAATATTAAATAACAAGGTTCGCATGGTTAAAGTTAGGGGAAAAAATATAATGTAACTTTTTTTTTCCTTGAATGAAAACATCGTGTTCAGCAGAAAGCAAACCCTGCACTCTATAGCAATAGCAGTTAGACTTATATACCGCTTCACAGGGCTTTCAGCCCTCTCTAAGCGGTTTATGGTTTACGGTTTAGGAGGGCCTTCTCTGTGGCTGCTCCGGCCCTCTGGAATGATCTCCCCATGGAGATTCGGACCCTCCCTACCCTTCAGGCTTTCCGTAAAGCCATTAAGACCTGG